ATTTCTCTGCAGTGTGTCATTTTGACATGATTGATCACAATAAGTTGACTTGCAGATGGGTTTGAAATACGGCTGTCCGGTGGAGGACATAATCACAGGACTGTCTATACAATGCAGAGGTTGGAAATCCGTCTACTTCATTCCAGAAAGGAAGGCCTTCTTAGGCGTTGCTCGCACAACTCTTTTGCAGAGCCTAATACAACACAAGAGATGGTCTGAAGGTGATTTTCAGATTTTCCTATCCAAATACTGTCCCTTGGTTTATGGACATAAAATGATCCCTCTGAAACTTCAACTTTCCTATGGTCCCTACATCCTATGGGCTCCCACCAGCTTAGCTATGCTATATTATGTTGTTGTGCCATCCCTTTGCCTTCTCAAAGGCAAAGCTTTATTTCCGCAGGTATGGATTTCATCTTCACAAAATCCAAAATTATTTATGAATCCCAACTAATCATTAAGCTTCTAAGACTTGAATGAATTTTTTAACGAATCATCAGATATCAAGCCCTTGGGTCCTACCATTTCCCTGTGTGGTCCTTGCAAACCGAGCATACAGCCTGTGGGAATTTCTAGGCTGCGGAGGCACATTGCAGGGGTGGTGGAATGAGCAAAGGATTTGGATGTTTAAAAGAACAACTTCATATTTATTTGGCTTCCTTAGCACTATCCTGAAGCAACTGGGATTATCTAAGGCAACATTTACCGTAACAGAAAAGGTGGTGGATGAGGATGTGTCTCAGAGATATGAGCAAGAGGTCATGGAATTTGGCACGAAATCACCCATGTTTAACATTATAGCAACACTGGCTATGCTCAACTTGCTCAGCTGCATTGGGGCAATAAAAAGGGTTATAGTCGATAAAAAGGCCTTGGACCTACTTGCTTTGCAGATGCTTTTAAATGGCCTCTTGGTTTGCCTAAACCTGCCGGTATACAAAGGGCTGTTCTTTCGTAAGGACAGCGGCAGCATGCCTCCCTTAGTAACACTCCTCTCAATCATTTTCGCTATGTTAGCTGCCACTATGGTCATGTACTAAATTACCCTAATCACATGTTAAGATCAAAAGAAGGTACCTGCTCCCACAGCAAATGTTTTAGGTTAATAAAGACTTCAGTCTCTTTGTACACTTGGCTTTTGCATGAAAGAAGGAACTGCTACACTATCAAGGAGTAAGAACAATACACTCAACAAAGTGTCTTCCTGCTACACTTCAACTTTATAACTTGAAACTGTTGGTTTTTTTAAAACAGAGAAATGGAGAGAACCGAGAGGAAGATGAAAAACAGAGCATATGCTGAAATGGAGAGAAGTTTATGACTTCAGCTCACCTTTTCTCATTAATAAACTCTCCTATATATAAGAGAATACAATCTTAATTCAAAATTCAAACAACTTTCTACATTAAAAAACAATAAAGTACATTTTAAATTTGAACAATAACAGCCACTTTTTCCGCATGCTTGCTGTTACTCTTCAGCCACTTTGCAGCTTTCATTTCATTTGCATTTGAGTTTGCATTTGCATTTCATGTGCATTTCATTTGCTGTTTGCATTTGCTGCCCGTTGCAGCCTCATTTCATCAACATTGCAGCTCAGCTTGCTGCACATTGTTGCTGTCATTTTACAGCTTCATTTTCACCATATTTGCAGCTAAATTGCTGCCATATTTGCTGAAAATTGCAGCTTCATTTGCTGTCAATTTTCAGCCTCATTGCTGCCATTTCATGGCAGTTTCATTTCTTCATTTCTGCAGATTTGATTGCCACGTTTCTAGCAATAATTCCAACAGAAACATCACGCTCTTGCAGCTGGCCTGCAGAAAATGGAACTTGCACTTTGGGTGGTAATACATGCGGCAGAATTTCGAGGGCTTACATAAGTTCAACGACGAGTGCAGAGGCTC